GGGCTAGAGTGCCATGGCATCAGCCTAGCTCACAGCAACCTCAAACTCCTGGGCTCAAACAATCCTTCTGCCTCAGCCTCCCAAGTAGCTGGAACTACAGCCATGTGACACCATGCCCAGCTAATTTTTTCTATGTATTTTTAGTTGTCCAGCTAATTTCTTTCTATTTTTAGTAGAGACGGGATCTCGCTCTTGCCCAGGCTGGTCTCGAACTCCTGACCTAGAGTGATCCTCCCAGAGTGCTAGGATTACAGGCGTGAGCCACCATGCCCGGCCGTGTGGAATATCTTTTTCCATCTTTTTACTTTCAGTCTGTATGAGTCTTTACAGGTGACGTGAGTTTCTTTTAGGCAGCATATAGTTAGTTGGGTCATATTTTTTAAATCCATTCAGCCAGTCTATATCTTTTAAGTGGAAAATTTAATCTGTTTACATTCGGGGTTGATACGGATAGGTGAAGACTTGGTCTTGTCATTTTATTAATTATTTTCTGGTTGTTTTGTAAATTCTTTCTGCCTTTCTTTCTCTCTTACTGTTTATCTTTGCAATTTGATGGTTTTCTGTAGTGATAGCATTTCAGTCCTTTCTCTTTCTCATTTGTATGTTTGCTCTACCAGTGAGATTTACACTTTTATATGTTTTCATAAGGGTAGATATCATTCTTTCACTTCCAGATGTAGGACTCTCTTAAGCATTTCTTATACAGCTAGTCTAGTAGTAATGAATTACTTCAGTTTTTGCTTGTTTGGGAAAGATTTTGTTTCTCAATTTTTAGAAGGTGTAAGAAAATCTCCCACATTAGATCTAGTTTTCTGCTTTCTGAAGGAGGTAGCAAGATCTCAGGAGAATAAGAATCAATGTAGATAGGCGATATGTGAAGTGATCTTATTAGAGTAGATCAGGAAAAAGAGAGGTGAGTATGAGGTTCCAGCACCCAAATGGTTCAAAATAGAGTACCTGTGGTGTAAGAAAAGTAGTGACTCAAACTCTGGTAAGTGAGAGGGCTTAGAAAATGACCATTTGTGTTTAGCCTCTGGATAGAAGCAAAGATGAGAAACCTATGGGATAGAGAAGTTTCAATATTCATTTATGCTCTGATTTATTTCCAAATAAGACTTGAGGTAACTTAACACTAAAAATACAGTTGCACTAAAACAATAACTAAACATATTAGCTAGAATAAAAAAGTAAAGTGGAAGATGGGGAGACTTAGCTGCTTTATTTTAAAATTTGATTTGTTCCTTTCCTTACACATCAGTACCCAGTGATAAAATGGAAGCAAGTAAGTGCAGATTGCTAATTACTCTCTCCAGTTGCCTCAGGATTGGTTCTTAAAATAGGTGTAAGATTATTTTTTAATATATAAATGGAAGCTTTTGAAAACATAAAAGTTAGAACCTTGAGTTATGTTACATTTAGATGAATTTTATTATCTTAGGTTTTGCTAATGGAAGACTCAGAAAAATATGAAGTATTCAGCCAACCAGATAGAGAAGAGTTCCTGTTTTGTCTTTTCAAACATCTTTGCCTTGGTGGAGCTATTTGTCAATATGAAGATGTGCTTAACCCGTATCTGGAAACAACAAAGCTCATCTATAAGGATCTGTTGAGGTAAAGTTGCTAGGTCACAATATGTAAATCTCTAATTAAAAGAATAAGTTATTTGTTTGCTAGGATTATGCAGCATCTCTTTGTGTTCATATTAATAACCAATGTTTGTAAAAAATAGCACTACCCTGACCCCTCTTAAAACTTCCTGCCTGTATTCCAGGCTAGAAAGATTTCTAGATTGCCCTGCCTCTCTTTTAGTTCTCAGTCTTCTCATTGTTCATCTACCTCTTTTCTCTTTGTTTCCTCATTCACACCTGTCACCCACTCTATCCCTTATTAGCAACTGCCATCTTCCAGGCCTCCTTTATTTTTCTTACCAGGCCTCCTTTTAAATCTCAAAGGAACGCAAGAGATTCCTCAGGATGTTTGAGTTTGCTCAACTAATAGTAAAAAATTACTACCTTTGTTCCAAAGAGGAGGAAGAATTTTCATCTAGGTGTAATCTTTACCTTTCAAATTAATCCCAAAGCTATACAGTTTGTTTCAGGTATTCTAGCAGAGTATTTTTATTTATTTTTTTCTTTTTTCTTTTTGAAGATCAAATGAGGATTAAAACCTTAACAAAAATTGCTTTTTTTTGAGACAGGGTCTCACTCTGTCACCCTGGCTGCAGTGCCGTGGCACAATCATAGCTCACTGTAACCTCAAACTCCGGGGCTCAAGCGATCCTCTTGCTTCAGCCTCCCACATAGCTGGGAATACAGACACATGCCACCATGCCCCGCTAATTTTTCTATTTTTTGTAGAGACAGGGTCTCATTCTTGCTCAGGCTGGTCTTGAACTCCCAGCCTTAAGCTATCCTCCCTCCTCGGCCTGCCAAAGTGCTAGGATTACAGGTGTGAGCCAATGAGCCCGGCAAAAATTTCTTATTGATACTTTCATTTTAATTGAAGTGAATATTCTTTGGTTGGATTTTTAAATTATACAGATACTAGATTATCTTTATAGGAAAAGAGGACAGAAACAAGACAAAGGAAAGGTCCTGGAGCTCAGTTATAGAATTTTACTTTAATGAGAAAACAATAGTATTAGCTTCTCATCAGATTCATAATTGTTACTTTACTTATACTCAGCACTTTAATTCTCATATCCATTCCGTGTGTCATATAGCTATAAAACAAACTGCATAATTTAGTTATTTGGTTTAGTTTATTTCTGATATGATTTTAAAAACATAAAAATATTTTTATAATCTGTCTCCGATTTTAATGAAAAAGTTTTGTGTCAATACATAAAGATTATTGGAAGAGATATGTTAGAAACAGAATTTCAGAAAAGGCATACACATTCCTATAACAAATATATCCTGTCATAATCATTTACAGCTCATGTGAACTTGCTAGACCACTTCTAGCACTCCCTGAATATACTCCTCTATATACCCTAGACATACACACACATACCACCACTGCAGTGTGTTGTGCCCCATCAGCCACATGAGCCTGTGGAATTCCTCACTACCATGTGCTATGGAGGAGGAGATTCTGTTGGAGATATTTGAAATAGAAACAACTTCAGAACCTAACATTGCAGAAACTGTTTTTCCCAACATTCCCTTCCCCAGATTCTCATCTGTGATTCTCTGCTACATTTTTTGGGTGCTAAGAAAAAGTATGACTCGAGAGTAATGGCCACTTATAAAATGAATAGCCAAAATACATGACATCTTACAAGAAGAAAAGGAATTGTCCATGGAATCACTTAATCAGGCAACAAGCAAATATTAATACTCTACACAGAACTCTAAAGAGGCTACAAGAGGAGCATCAGACAGTCCTTGGCCTTAAGGAAATTACAACAAACTAACATATTAAATAATCAGCTGAGTACAGTGGCTCACACCTGTAATCCCAACATTTTGGGAGGCCAAGGTGGGAGGATTGCTTGAGGCCAAGGTTCGAAACCAGCCTGAGCAACATATCGACACCCCATTTTTACAAAATATAAAAAAATAATTAGCCAGGCAAGGTGGCTGTAGTACACCTGTACTTCCAGTTACTCAGGAGGCTGAGGCAGGAGGATTGACTGAGCTCAGACATTTAAGATTGTGCACTCCAGTCTGGGAAACAGAGTGAGACAGACCCTTTCTCTAAATAAATAAATGAATGAATAAATAAATAGATGTAAAGTA